TTTTTTTTTTTTTTTTAACCTAAGGCAGGGTTTCTCAACTTCTGCCCTAGAAATATTTTGGACTAGATAAATCCTGACCAATTATAAGATATTTAGTGCCTTTAGGCCTCTTCCTAGTAGATGCCAGTAGCAGCCCCACCCCAGCAGTGACAACCAAAAATGTCTCCAGACATTGCCAATGTCCTTTGGGGACAAAATTGTCTCCAGTTTTGAACCACTGACCTAAGGAGAGGTGCGGCGCCCAATTCGTTTGATTTTTTTTTTAAGTCAAACCGTTATTTATTCATTCACTCAACAAATTTATGCAGCCCCTGCCATGTGCCAGGCACTGCTTCAGGGTCTAGTTACTGACAAAATAGCAGTGAACAAAGCAGACAGAGCGCCTGCCATCACAGAGCTGTTATCTCAGTGGAGAGTCAAAAAATGAGCAGATAAATAGATGCCTGATCAGTGCCAGGAGGAAAGTGAAACAGGGTAATGGGGCCAGGGGCGCGGGTTAAAGAGTCAGAAGGGGGCTGCTTCTGCAGGCAGGGTGGGCCTAGGAGAGCCCTATAAGGAGGTAACGTGAAGCTGAGACCTGGGAAGCCCAACAGGCTGAGTTCCAGACAGAATAACCGGCAGTGCAAATGCCCTGAGGCCAGCACACTTTTGACATGTTCAAGGAATAATGAAGACCAGTGTGTCTGCATTACCATAGATGAGACAGAGAAATTATAGGAATTATATACCATGGAAAGGAGCCTGGATTTTATTCTAAGTGCAAGGAAAAAAAGACAAAGAAAACTAACCTAGGAAGTGATGTGATAATAATTATGTTCGTAAAAAGGAATGAATTAGATACATTAACATAAATGAATCTCAGGAACATAATATTAACACATTTACTGCCACACTAGAAAAAATTTTTTTTCCTTGAGGCCACAGTGTTTTATTATGAAAATAGAATAAAAACTTCAAAAACAAAACTGTCCTTTCTAATTTAATGAAAAATGTGTTATTTTTATTGTTTTATGTACATGAATTATATGCAGTTGTCAATATTAATTATAACAATAAGAACATCAACAAGTAAGATTTTCAGAAACCATCTGCAGGCCCCAGATTCAAAACTAGTGTGAGTTAAATACAACTCACACGGCAGTTAATGTGTTTTAATGCTAGTCAAGTACGATTCCATTTGTATAAAGCTCAAAAACAGGCAAAACTAAGCAGTATATTGGTAAAAATCTTTTACAGGAAAACAAGGGAATGGAAACACAAAATTCAGGAGAGTAGTAAGTAGCCTCTTGGGGTAGAGGCCATTCAGAGAGGAACAGAGAGGGTGTTTCAAAGGTACTAGCAGAAGCTCAGTGGATCAACCCACCCCCGTGTCCCTCCTAGCTGCTGGTGGCTGCCGGTAATGCCGGGCATTCATTGCCTGAAGACACATCATTCCAATCCCTCCCCTTCTCCATATCACCTTCTGCCATGTGTCCTTGTGTCTCCTTTTCTGTCTCGTATAAGGACACTGTTATTAGATTTAGAGCCCGCCCTAATCCTCGTATAATCTCATCAAACCTTATCTTAATTGGATCTCAAAGACCCTTATTCCAAGTAAAATCATATTATGAGATTCTGGGTGGATGTGAATTTTTAAGAGACCTTATTCAGCCCACTTCAATCAACAATCTTACATTCCCACTAGCAAAGCCTCACTCCATTTTGCCACGGTATTGTAATAACTTCTTTAATCCAAATAAGCTTCTTAAAATACTTCACTGACCTCATTAGTATGGTGGGAAGTAATTAATTAGGATTTGAGTCATTTTCGTTACGACTCTGTTTTCTTTCTGTCAGCTACACAATTTTTCCATCTACGAGCAGACATGTCGTCACTAATCTTGGGCAAAATTTTGAATCAGAACAAAGTCAGGGTAGATGCTATTGCAGTTTTGGTAAACATTGGCAAAAGTTTATGTGTGAACATATGGGTGAGCATGTTTTTGAATTTTATATACATATATCCATATGTGAAAACTGCGTATTAGCAAAGTGATGCATAAACTATGGCCACATATTAAAATCAAGTTCTAGGAGCAATGGTCCTGATTTAAGTTAAACAGAATCTGTTTTCTCTGTCTCTGGTGGATCAGTTCCATTCTTGCCTGGTTGGGTTCAAGGACACCAAACTTTCACTGGGATCAATTTCCTCCTTCGTGAAATGAAGGTATTGGACTATAAGGCCCCTTTCATTCCCTAAAAATCCACTGAATCTATGGGCAGCTTGCATGGAACCACTTATAATAAGTTATTTATGGTGTTTATTCTGCTTAGCTTGTCAGCAATATGCTTTATTACTAGCCTGCTTTTGTACTGTGTTGACACTTTGGTTGACTCAGAACAGACTACGTCTCGGTGGTTCTTTAAACTTAAGGAACAGCCAGCCAACCTTTCCAAAGAGGTCTGTTTGTCTGCTAATAGCCAGGTTTCTATTGAGTGATTGCCATGTAGCGAGGCACCACGATAAATGCTTGCATGTGAATGACTCATTTTAATTCTTAAAGCTATCCCCTGTGATGTGTGCTATTACTGTCACCTGCATTTTACAGATGACCAAAACCGAGACATAGAGATTAAGTGGGCTTCCTAAGGTGACATAGCTAGTAAGAGAGAGAATCTTGAGCTTTTGTCCTGTGTTTATTACTACGCTATACTATAGCTGGAGATTACTATATTATAACTGCCTTCTGTAGATTTCATACCATGATTACTATACTATTGATTGCTCAACTGTAACTCCTATATTATAGATTATTGTACTATAACTAAACTACTACGTAGAGATTGTTTAAATACCATGTATTAAAGCTTTATAACTTTTTCAAGGATATATAAATTGCATAGCATGCTATTTCAGAACCCAGTAAAGAAAACATCTTATAGTTCTTGAATTGGACTGTCCAAAGCAGTAGTAATAGCCACATGTGGCTATTTAAACTTCAAGTATTTCAATTTAAATAAAATTAAAAATTCATTTCCTCAGTCTCACTAATCACATTTCAAGTGTTAATGGGGTTAATACACTCATGGCTACTGTATTGATTTATGCAGATTAAGAGCATTTCCGTCATTGAAGGAAGTTCTATGGGACAGCACTGTTTTGGAAGGGCAGGGAAGTATATTTCCCTTCAAAATTGCAGGATTAGATCATATAGTCAATTGTCATATCTATGAATGTAGAGTTGGATTGTGTTTAATATTAGCTTCCTGACTTTCCTTATATCCCCTCATAAAGTAAAAACGAGCCCCACTTTTACCTCATGACAGCGTCATCTGCCATCTCAAAAGGTAAAACCTTTATCAAGAATCCACTTTTTCCTAAGTGCAATTGATGCAGGGGGTGTCCCAATGAAGAGAGGAAAGCCCCCTGAACTCGCCAAGTGGGTTCTTGGCTTCATCCAGGAAAGAATTCAAGTATAAGCTAACTGGCTGTAGGAAGGTTCATTGAGACAGACAGACAACAGATCCTACCCCACAGACAGAGTGGGTGTCCTCTCTCAAGCAGAAGCGGGATTCCTTATGGGGCAACTGTAATGTTTTTAAATGTTCAAAAAACCCATTGTTGAAACAGCCGTACCCAATCAGCATTTTCTTGTAGTCAGGCCATAGAGGTTAATCATAAATGCTGTCACAGAATGGTAAGTGCAGTTTGTAAGGCATCTGGTTTAGTAATTCACCTGTCTTTGGGTCATGGGCTGGCAACTTGCTGGCAATTTCCCTGTTCAGGGTGGTTAAGGTTTGGTGTCAGCCAAAATGGCTGCACTCAGGCTCTCCCCACCTTCCTTCTGTGCCTTATTCCTACGTTACAACGTCACAGGTTTGAATAAACACAATAGCCTCCTGCTTTCCCAAGTAGCCAGCAAAGACAACAAAATGATGTTATATGCAGACCAATGGGCAAAATGTGTTGGCTTTACTTCAAAGCTTAAATACAAGCCTGAATTATACAACTGACCTTTTGGATTCAGAACTGCTAAGCAAATAAAAACACCGCAATTCTCCTATATGAAATGGAAAAAAAAACTTGTGGTGTTATATTAAGAAGTTTTTGGAGAGAGAGAAGGGGAGGAAGCTTCCCAGAAAACAAACATATCTATAGTTGACACCAACAGTGTGAGCTCCTCCAAGCAGGAGGAATGTTTTCTTTGTCTTTGAATCTCCTGCCCAGCTCCTGTAGCACCTGGCCCAGGGTAGCTAATCATAACATGTTTAATGAACATAATAGCTAACGTCAAGTGTTAGGCTTGGCTGGCCCACAAGTCTTTGTCTATCCAGAGTGAAACCAATCAAGCTAACCAACAAACAAAATTACAACAAATTATCCTTCTTGGCCCATGATATATAGCCCTAAAAACAGCAGATATTCTGGAAATGTAAAAACTTACGATACCCAAGAACAGGAACAAGAAGTGGCTTTTGATACCTTTCTCCGGGACCTCTGGAAATGCCACCTTGACTGGTTGGTTTGAGGTGCAAAACCACAGTGGAATCCAAGGTGGTACCTGCGTGGACATCTGTGCCTGGCCAGCCAGTCTCCTGCAAGGGTCTTCCATGAGGAGCTTTGGCTCACACTGGTGACGTTTGGCTTTTCTCCCAAATCCTTGCCACCCCATCCTGCTCTCAAACCACAAGCTGTTCTGGTTTAGTGAGTTTGGCAAAGACTTCTTGCATTTCAGGCAGAGGCGAGCATTTCATTTTCTTACCTCTCTCAAACTGAAGCCTTCCAGGTTGAGATGACAAGGTTTCCAAACTGAGGGGAGACCATGGATGGAACTGGAGGTCATTATGTTAAGTGATACAAGCCAGGCGCAGAAAGACAGATACTGTTTGTTCTCACGCATGTGTGGGAGCTAAAAAAGTGGACCTTATTTGGGTAGAGAGTAGAGTGGTGATTCCCAGGGGCTGGGAAGGGAAGTGGGGAGAAAAGAGAAGTTGGTTAATGAGCACAAAAATGCAGGTAGATAGAAGGGGTACGTTCCAGTATTCAATAGCACAGTAGGGAATTCATAGCTAACAATAATTGATTGTATATTTCAAAATAGCTAGAAGAGAAGATGTGTAGTGTCCCCAAAACAAAGATAAATGTTCGAGGTGCTGGATATCCCAGTTACCCTGATTTGATCATTACACATTGTATACAAGTATCAAAAGATCACGTGTACCCCCAAAACATGTATAACCATCATGCATCAATAAAAAAAGTAAATTAAAAAAATTAGGCGGCCTCTCCTCTCTGAGCCACATCCTAATTGGATTCTTTTCAGTTCAATAAGGCAGACAATTTGGAATCCCAGGGCACAGAGACAGTCCACAGAGTCATTGTCGTCCCTTTATTTACTACCTAAAATGATGGCCAGCACTATTGGGTCTTGCTGGATCTGTTTCCAGCCCTCTTGCAAAGGTGAGAGAATGTCAAATGTCAGAGCAGTACAAGATTCCTTCCCGCAAAGCTGGCATAATCTATTTAGACTTAACTGGGTTGGGGGTGTGGTCATGAAAAATGTTGCCTAAAACTATCAGCTGCGCTCCTTGGAACCAAGTAGGCACAGAGTCCAAGAGAGGAGGTGTTTGATCGCCTTTGTTTGATTTGCTGGGACAGAGACTAGAGACCCTCAGTGACAACTGATCCGAACCCTGTTACCTCCTTTGAGGCAGGTTCCATGATCACAGCCAGTGACAAATCCCCTCCCACTCTGAAAAAACAAGAAGCAGGTTTCTCTCTATTCTGTAGTTGAAATATACAGAACAAGCACACACGTACTCCAAAGAAGCTCTGCAAAATATTCTGCAGATGTAGCATAATTTATCTTCCAGGAAGGCTACACATTGATTGGTGTATAATTTATTTCACAACTAGTCTCTTCATTCCCTTATCTTCTTAAGAAAAGGGGGGAAAATGTTGCAGAGAAATGGCAGATGGTTTCTTGAACTGTCTTTCCTCAAATTGGGCATTTTCTGAGGATTATTAGCTAGCTGGGGCAAGATGAAGGTTCAAAATATTGTCAAGGCATATTAACCCCAGTCGGTTTTTCAATCCTGAATTGCCTACAATATGCCGGTTCTTGCTATTACGTGAGTTGATTGCTGTATGGAAGAGGAGATTATTTTTAACATACAAATAATACAGTTGTTATATAAAGAGCACAACTGGAAGCATTCAGCTTTGGATGTGGGATCAACATCATGACTCTGCCCATATTTGTTTTTCTTGAATTAAACATTCACCTGCGCCATGCCTTTGACCTACCGTGCAAAACTAGCACAGCTTTGATGCCGACTCAGCTGATCATAGTCTACTAACCCAGGTTTCCCATCCCTGAGAGCTCCAGGGTATTTTTTTTTAATGAGAAAGATGCTTTTTTTCTTTTTCTTTTGTGTGTGTGTGTGTGTGTGTGTGTGCGCTGAAAGGGTGAAAGAGACCTTGCTTTTGGAGATTTGACTTTGGAAATGGAAAACAGTTGGATGGTTGCCAGTATAACTGTTAAAAGCTTTATAAGGAATACATTTAAGTAATTTTTTTTACTTTCAGAGAAAAAATGATCCCTATGCTCTTGTGTCACTGGTGTCCTTTGAGGTGAAGAAGATGCCTTATACAGACCAGCCAGCAAAGCTCCCCAAAGGAAGCATAGCAGTGAGTATCTTTACAAATATATATAGGCACGAATAATTTAATTGAAATAATTTTTTAAAAATCATCGTCCAACTTGTGCTAGGATTAAGTGTTTACATTGACTTGAGAAAAGTGTCCCTTTTCAGCCCTTTTCTTACTTTACCCTGGAAATTCCCTAGTGCCTTTTGGTCTGGTTTTTAAACTTTCCATATAAATTTCTACCCAAAAAAATTACAGGGCAGGACTAATACCATTTTTAATCAAGACATTTTGTTTCTGAGAAATGCAGATAGATAGCAATTATCGTTAGAACAAAATCGTACTGATTCTTTCATTTTAAACACAGCATGGCGAGTCAGGTGGGGAGGGAGGAGACTCTTCCTTAAGGAGAGTTGGTCACAGACCAACTGCGTGACTTTGGACGGTCATTGTTAATTTCTGTGCAAAGATTCTTAATTTTGGTGGGAGGGGGGAAGGAGTACATTGCAGGTTTCAGTTGAATGAAGTGTCATTTTTTAAAAAATTAAGGCTATTGAATGTTACCGACAGCCAAATACCTGTCACAGAACAACTTCTCGCATCCTCAGCAACCTGGCACGGCCGTGTAGAGAGAAGGGAAGAATGGATGAGGCGTTCAGTAGGCACTGTTACCAAAACTATGCCTTTTTGGTTATTGTGAAGGTGGTCCCAGACTTTTGAAAAAAAGAATGCTCTGAAAAGAAAACAAATTAAATATTTCAGCCTTTATCTCGTGGTCATTCAGTGGGTATTTACAACACCCAACTTGAACTCTTGGTCCCCTGGTCCTTGTAACTCAAAGTGTGGTTGTGACCAGCAGTGTCAGCATCACCCGGGGGGACTGTTAGAAATACAGAACCAGGCCTCACTCCATTCCTGCCGAGTCAGAATCCGCATTTTATCAAAATCATCAGTGCATCCACATGCAGAGTAAAGTTCGAGAAGCGCTGCTGCTTTAGATGGTATATGAGTTCATCTTATGCTCATCCCTGTCTAGCCTCAATCTTAAAACTTAATTGTAATAGTTAATCTTTCTACACTCATCTACGTGTACTAATTTAAATTAATCCACTGATTTGTAATTCTCAACCCTGAGTGGGCAGCAGAACCATCACTCCCGCAACTTTAAAAATATGTACACGCTAAGACCTCCCCCCAGATCCTGGGATTTAATAGGTCTGGGGCGGGGCCCTGGTGCTATGCCTTAAAAGTTCCCCAAGTGACAATTCTGCAGGGGAGCCAGGACTGAGAACGTCTAGCACAGGCAGGTGGCCTAGAGGAAATCCAAGGTTTTGAAGACAGAGTCACCTAGGCTTACTCCTGGTTCCACCTTGCTCTAATTAGGAAACCCTTGTGAAGTCATGTTACTTCTCTGAGGCTGTTAAGCACATCCACCTGATGGAATTATTAAGAAAATTAAGAATATTATGTAGATAAAGCATCTAGCATTCTATAATACCCAGAACAAGTAAGACTCTAGTCTCAATAAATGACAGTAACCTTCCCAAAATGTCTCACCTTCCCTGGCCACATCCAGTAAGCTCAAATTGGAAATGGCCATTAAGATTCACCCAAATGATTTTGGTAAACTTTGGTGATATTTTAAAGCAAGCCCTGCCACATCTTTCTTCATTTAGACCACCCCTCTTTCTCTCCAGAGACGTCGGCTGTAGGTTGGATTTATGTTCAACCTAGAAAAGAGAGGCTTTGGGATTTTAATATAGAGAGTTCATCCAAAGAGGTTCAAAGGCTTGTATCTCCATGGGAAATAAATCTGGGCTCTTTTGTTTTCTCCGAGCACGTGTTCCCTAACAGAAACACATGTTCCAGTCCATTCCATCAACAGGACTGCATCTTGTTGTGCTGGCCGCAGGTGACGGCCTGCTGTTCTCAACTCATCTCAAAAGATCCACAAAACGATCTGATACATGCTTCCCCCAGTCCTGCCTCCCCTGTTACTAAATTGAAAGAAGAAAAAATACAGACTTTTTATTTGATGTAGATGATTTACCATGTCAATTATGTAAAGGTTATTGGAAAAACACTCAATGGAGGTGCTTTCAAGTCTCCCCATATTTGACTAACTGGAGAAGATCTTTCCAGTACAAAGTTAGCTATGTCATGCGGGAAACAGCCTTACTGCGGCTTGATCTGAGAGAACTCATCAGAGCTCCAATCTGCCCCTGGGGAAAGCCTCTCATTTCCTCCTTTCACATTGAGATTAAATATTAATACTATTTGCTTGTTTTCCTAGACTCTTGTGTGGGGTGATTAGTTTGTTTGTATGCCCTTTCCAATATGATCAGAATTCAACCATTTCTTGAGACCTGTATTAGTTTTACATATGGAAGAAAACCGCGCTCCCCATCTGCTCTTGTATAGTGTCTGTATGTGTAACAAACTGCTCATGCAACGTGACACTTGTCATGTTCAGAGGCGATGGAAAGGTTGCATGACTCAAAGACATATGACTGAATACTGAGTCACTACAATGCAACAGAAAAAAAAATCATTCAATTTTTTGAATACTTTCTTGGCTTACCAATGAACTTTGACATTTGCATGTCATGCATCTAATGCCCAATTCTATAACTTACATCTATAAGACAATAGTATTCCGTAGTATAATTCCAAAGGTGGTTATTATAAAATAGTTCGTGGAAATCCCTATTTAAAAACTCATACATAAATGGTGGATCCATCTGATTTTCAGAATTGTTAGCAAAACTTCGGCACCTTAAAATAGAACTCTTATATTATACAATGGTTTGAAGCACAAACTTACGATGGAAACTACCGTTTCCATAGGGGCTGTTAAATGTTGTTAAAACGTGTGCTTAGCCAGTCCACTTTATGTTATTATTTTGTTCTAAATGGCACTCTAGGTAGGATGTCTTGGTACATTTATTTAAAACATTCTTCTGACCCTACTGAAGTATGTTTACACAAGATTTTGTGATACATAAATACAGATGTCAACATTAATTACTGTTGCAATTACAAGGGAGCTTTTTCCTTCCACCTTGGCATTTTTTGTCAAAATATACAAAAACATATCATAAATGTCGATGATAAAATGTAGGCATATTAAAGGTTTATTTATGGTCTTTCAACCATAATGAAAAACAACAAGATTTATGACATGATGAAGGTAAGATTAAATGTTCCCTACTTAGGATCACTTTAAAAAAATCTAAACCTCTTAAAATTTATAGATCCCGCTTCCTAAAATTACAGATAATTATAATACGTGAATTGTTAAAATTTTATGTCATTTCTTTAAATAGTTAAAAGTTCTTGATAAATAAAAATGTATTAAAACAATTTGTTGATGAGTTGGCACACAACTGGATTTTTCTCCTTTGATTTTAAGTACTTCAGTTACTCAATTTCTTTCTTAAAGCAGTTGAAATATCTAATCACAAGCCCGTGTTCTAAAAGTAAACTCTTAGTCCTAAATACACTCCATCTTCTGCCCTAAGGCATTCTTCCTTGGTGAGAGAAGCTTATAATGAAAGACTTGAATAATTCAGCTAATTTCACCATTTTGTGAGATCCTATAAAATGCTCTAGATCTGTGCGGTCCAATATGGCAGCTACTATTTACGTGGATAATGAATACCTGAAATATGGCTGGTGAAACGGAAGAACCGAACTTCTAGTTTGCTTTCATTTTCACTCATTTAAATGTCAACTTGGAAATGGAAGCAGTATAAAATGTATTTTTCATTAAACACAGCTTTATTGTTTTCACAGGATTACATTTCACTTTAACCAGTGAAAATTCAGCAATTGTTATTGCTGCAAGTGTGAAATACACACTGGATTTTGGAAACTTAGTAAAAAAAATAGTAATGCATGAATCTTTATGTCAATTGCATGTTGAAATAATAGTTTTATCATTAAGAAATAATGGTTGATTAATAATAAATAGTTACATGTTAAAATAACAGTCTTACCATTAATGGATAAGAGCTGATATTTAAGGTTAAATAAAATATATTATTAAAAATTAATGTTCCCTGTTTCTTTTCACTCCTTTTAATGTGGCTGCTAGAAAATTTTAAATGACACATGTGGCTTGCATTATATTTCTTTTAGGCAGCACTGATCAAGAATAAGTTTGCAACTCGGAGCTGATTATAACACCCACAGAGCTTCAGAGAACATGGGGTGTTTAATAAATATTATTTTAAATGAATAAAAGATTCTTACTATAAATCAGCATTTAGTCATTTGAAACTCTAAAATTTAGGACCCATTTTTTCATTATTTATTATCGAATGGATACTAAGCTTCCTGTGGGCTTGTCAAAATGAGCTGTAAGACAAATACAAATAGTAGAAGTAATAAAATTTTGGTACTTGTCAGCATTTTATTTCTCACCCATGCTTCCCCAAAACTAGCCTGCAGTTCCGCAACACTAATGCATATTGAAATAACCTTTGGTCCTGTAACAGTGATCATTTAGGTCCTTTCCTTTTAAGCTTGCCTGTGCAGGTCACGTCTCTAGTTTATCTGTACAGAGCATTGAGTTTCAGAACAAGCTTTGCTTTATTGGTTTCCACCTGCAGATGGAGAATATCAACAGGTAAGATTTTCAGAACCATCTGCAGGCCCCAGACTCAAAACTAGTGTGAGTAAAATACAACTCACATGGCAGTTAATGGAATGCCCCATCGCCATTTACAGATTCAGAGACATGAATATGTCACATGACTCTCCAATTGCTCTATTCCCAAAGGACCTCTTTTTCTGAGACATGCAATGTGACTCTTGTCATGATGTGTCACATTTGGCTGTTTGTTCACCTCTTTCCAGCAACTGTCCGTTATCTCCTCTGCACTAGACATCTGAAGAAGTGCTCTGGGTCACTGTTGTTGGTTTTCTGTATTTCCACTGTCCTTAGTGTAGTGGCTTTTTGACTATGCAGCAAAAAGCCTAGGTCGGTTTAGGAAAACACCAGGGGCAAAGGAAGGTCTCTGCAGCTGCACCCATTGTAGATTGAGACGATCAGGCAGCCTCAGGGCCACGTGGATGCCCTAAACTCAGAGGGCCCAGAAAGCAGAATGCAGGTGCAAGAAGAGGGTCACTCAGAGATCGTCCTCTTTGAAGACTGTGTGTCTCTCCCCATCATGAGTTGCCCAGAATGACATGTAGGATATGTGTATGGACATGCGCGTAATCCTAGCCATTTAAGTACTCAGAGGGTATGAAGTGCTAATTTTTTTTTTTAAAGGAACCTAATGTTACTGGAAGCAGACCCTCAACCCTTTAATAATGAGAATTTCAGAATTTTGGAACTGAAAGGTGAATTTCAGAATTTTGGATCACTGCCTGGGGATCATCCCCTCAAGAGACTTTTTAAAGACCCTGCTATCAGAATCTTTGGAGGCAAATGTAAACAAAGAGTCAGTAGGTTTTGTAACTATCCCTATAAAGTTGTTCCCTGCTTCCGGGGACCCTAATAAGCATATCCTGGTGCATTTCATGTTTTATTTGTACTCTTTCATCACTACTTCAAAAACTTTCAAATGTCTTTATTAGCTCTTTGTAAGTGACCTTCCGTGCTTATTTCTACAGATAAGTTTTATAGACAATACATCAAAAACCTACAACAGCCAAGCAGCAAAGACACCTAGCGAAGCACTCAGTGGGTATCCACTCCTTCCATCCCATTTCTTTTTATTAAACTAACAATTGGAAGAGTCTATGGGCCCTGTTTCAACACTTTCAGCATGTTTGGTGGTTGTTTTAACTTAACAAACGAGGACTGTTTCCTATGTCTGACATGAAATAGTAGGAGGTGACTTAAGATATTAATTAGGTAAATCAGGAGAGGGAAGATTTAGAATCAACCATTGCCTGTCTTACCATGAATCACCTATTAGCAAATTTTGGTGAACTCTGACACATGCAGAAAATATGGATGAAAACTACGTTGTTTCCTCAGTGGATTTAGAGCTTAAGGGTAAGAAACGTTTATAGGAAACCTCAGAATTTTGCATGGTTCCAGATTTTCTCTTTCCTGGGTCCCTGTAACTGGCCTGTGAGAAGGTGATCACTTCTGTCCCTTTCTGTTCCAAAATTCTGAAATTCTCATTACCAAAACCGTGTCCGTCTGCTCCCAGTAACATTGCATTCATCATGCTAAATACTTCAGGCCCTTTGGCTTAGTACCTAAAATGCTAGGACTGAGCACTGATTTCATCCATGTCATCAGGTGTCATTAACTAAGGGTAGAGGATTTAAAGAGAAATAATCTAGTTCCTGATTTGCTCATGTAGCCATATACATGCAAAAGATCATTTTTTAATTCATATGTAATAATTGTACATATTGATGGAGTGCATGTGATATTTATTTCAATATTGCCTACAATGTGTAATGATCAAATCAGGGTATTTAGAATATCCATCACCTCAAGTATGTAGCATTTGTTTGGGTCTCTCTTTGGTTTATTTTGGGAATCTGCAGCTTTTTAGCTTTCTGGACCTCCAGAGGCACAAGCTCCCAGCACAGGAGCTGGAGAAGTGCTTTTGCCCAAGTGGAGTGGAGGAGTCAGTTCGTAGACACTGAGCATGCAGTCTGGTTAGGAAGGTCTCATTTTTTTCCAAACTCCCTCGCCACAGTGCGGGGGCAAAATGGGCTTCAACCCCTATGCTTTAATTCTGCATCTGAACATTGGATCTAGGATTGAGGGCAGCTCCAACACATCAGAACAATAAAACATTCGTTTTGCACATTGCAGTGACTTCCATAAAATACAAGATGACTGACCTCATGCTCTGGGCTCTCCCTCATTGGTAGAGCACAGAATCTAGTACTAAAGACACTGATTCATTATGTGAATCACTTAGTCCCTCTGAGACTCAATTGTCTCATCTGTAAGATGAAGGGTTTAGATTAGATGATTTCTCCCCTTCTGGCACAAACAACCATTCATGATTGGTCACAAGCTCACCTCTCACTGAGGTTAGCTGAGTTCTATGGAGAAGCACGTGTGGAGACACTCAGTGTTCTATGGAATCTACTTTTGGCTATTGCTGCCATAAAAGGTCCGGCCCAATTTAAGGTCATTCCTTTCCACCTTGTTCATTTCCTATCCACCTCATTTCTATTCTAGGGTTTTTGTGGCTATAAGCCAACCACCCACCAAGCATCTGTAATTAGATTTTCACGTGACCTGGCAGACCTGGGAATGTGTTAGCTTTTTAGAGTTCGTGTTCAAGAGCTATAACCTCTCAGATCTCCCCTAGGATTATTTCGATGATTATATGAATCCTTTCAGAACTACTCCCAATATTGTACTTGTAATTACTGCTTTATTTCACCAAATGGGTTTCAAATCAGAGCTCATTTGCTTTGTTTTCCATTTCAGATAAAGACATCAGTTATTTGGGCAACCCCAAATGTTTCCTTCTCAATCCCATTATGGGTAATAATACTAGCAATACTTCTTGGATTGTTGGTTCTGGCCCTTTTAACCTTAGCTCTATGGAAGGTAAGTTGATTTACTTTATTTTTCTTTTGGACTAGAGAGCCCACTAAGGGGGTTTAGAAGGATATTGCGAGGGATTTTAAAAGACAATGCTGGAGGCATAGTCGGAGATTTTGAACAGTCTAAAGGGCATAAAGACAAAATTGTGTTTGCTTTGGCATATTTAATATGCTCACGTAGCTGACATTTAAGATGACTGGGGGTGTTTCATGTTGCTTTCATCTTGAGATTTCCTGTAAATAAATATATAGAGAGTGAAGCTTTATTAACCGGGACCTGTGATCTTCTTTCCAATATGCTTTGAGTGCTAATGTTATTATGAGGACTTCTTTTTCTTGTTTAATTAACCAAGACGTTAAGCTTTTTATTGACATGGTTCTATCGTCTACCCTCTGGGATTTTTCTTTATAAGCGCTACACGGATGTAATTAACGTAGGTCAGTTCTGATTTCTTATTTCAACTATCAATGAGGCCAAGTATATCATGTATGTTATAAGATGCTTAGATTTATTTTTTAATCTTGCCAATTAGTCTGTCTCCATTAGGAAACCTGAACTTACTCTTTGATGTGTTTTACCAAGGTTTGGTCTAAAAGTCTACAATAGGAATTAATTTCTGGCCCGACAACCTACACAACTGCCAAGTTTCGCAGAGCCTTCCATTCCAAAATAGAAACATCACAATTACGTGACTATAAGTGACCCAGTCACATCTTGGTTAACCGCTATTACTCTGGTTCCCTAAAAACATTGTGTATTTTTATTCTGAAACAATATACAGCATGCCTAATAGACCTATAAACTGAGAAAACCTTGATTTTTAGTTAAAGACAGATTTTCTGATCATCATCAGCTGTTTTGTGCCATCCTGAGCCCACAAAGTCTATGACACACCCTTGGAATGGACTTTTGTGTTATTCTATTATTTGTAGTAACTGTATTTCCAGGGAATATAAGATATGATCATATGTGCCAATTGATAGAATATTCCACTGGGAAAGAAAGACAACCTGTTAGTTATAAGCCAAACCCAGTGAATTGGGCTTCCAACATGAAAAACAGTAAAAATCTAGGTTCCAGGTTTCTAGGAAAAGAGATATTCTGCTTGGAAAAGTACTAATTTGTAATACAGGAGGAGGAAGATTCTAGAATCACCACTTCCCTGGGTTAATCTTTGGAAAGTCACTAAGATGTCTGTTCCTGCCTGGTTTTGGCACTGAAATAAATGACAAATTGATTCTTCCTCCATATATTATATATCTATAACTACATCATATATGTACCACCAAGTGCAGAAGGATGCACAGTCTCACTTCTTCCTATGATGCATCCCAAGTAGCCTACAGTGCACTCTATGAGAAATGTCCCTTCCCTGGTAGGCAGTTAGCACTGCTAGTGGTTCCAGCAAACATTCAGAAAAGCAGAGAAGGAATCCTTGGGATATGTTGTTGTAATCCCAGGAAAATATCCATGGTTCATAGACATCCGTCACTACCATGACATGGCAGGAGGAAGGACATGAACACTCTGCCCTTCTGCTCACCTTGCCCTATGCAGTGAAATCTTCTCCATGAGTAACAACCATGTCCCTTTTACCTCCTAATGTGGAGAATTGGGCCGATTATATTTGCAGAACTCCAAGCTCCTTAGAAAATATATATAGTGAAAATTCTTTAAATGAGAGGTTTCACGATTTCGCAGAATGACTTGATTCAATAACCTCTTTTTCTTTTGTAGTGCGGATTCTTTGACAGAGCAAGACCACCCCAGGATGAGATGACTGACAGGGAACAGCTGACAAGTACCAAGACCCCTGATGCATGACAAGGAAATGCAAAAGACAAAAAAACTCAAAACACTGGTCCTGTTCAAAGAAAAGAAAGAACGTATGGGTTAAATGAAGGCTTTCCTGTACCTACCCATGACCTGGGAAAGGGACGGCCCCTGGAAATATCACTTCATCTACACTGTGCTTTGGAGAAGTTGTGACGGGAGCCCACTGAACACTTGGAAAGGGAGACACCGACACTGCAGAAACAATCAGAAACTGTGCAAGATTTGCTTTAGTCATTCTGTTTCTGGCAGACACTTTAAATGGGTATGGGAACTCGGGTTGTTGTCCAGGCAAATCCAACTTAAGTTGCTGAGATGAAATGTCTGAATCGCTATAGAATTTAGAAGGTGAACTAAGACCTAACCGTCCAACACTACTGTATCCCACGGAATATTTGACTCCTCCCTATGGAAAAAGAAACATTTCTAGTGACATTGTGGCTCAGGGAGACAGGCAATATGTTAATGGGTACTGTGAAAGTACTTTTGAAGTGACAGAGATAACCTTGGAAGTGAGGATTAAAGTGTATTTATTTATTTTCCATTTCTCTAGCTTGAAAATCTGGTCATCTAGAGGATTTGGAAACTAAGATTTGGTTCGCTAGTTTTTGAAATCACTCAAGTTCCTCCTAAGGTAACCACTGTGCGCAGATAACACTTAGCAGAGCATCTTCGGGATGTAGATGGTGTTAAGGAAAAGCAAATTGGTATTAGGAGACAGCTTCACTTAATACCTTGCTGCCTTCAGTCTGAAATTACTTTTATTCACACTGTGCGGGAACTCACATCTGCTTAAGTCAGCTTTGCAAAATGTGTTTATATTTCCTTATATATATATATGTAAATGTAAAGTCTTTCCACTGACTTAGCTAATACATCAATTTCGAGGTACTCTCTACCCTGTTGGGTGTTTAAAAGTAACGGTAAAAATGCCTAAAGTCCATTAATCAAAAAAAGAAATTGAATAATAGGAGTAAACATTATTTTTAATAACTATAAAAAGCAATGCCAATATTTAGCTTGAAATTAAATACCTATTTTCCCTGCTAGACCTCATACTTGTATATACAGAGAAAACATGTTGAACATAAGTAAGATGGAAATATAAATTTATACAGGTGTGAGACAAACCAAGAAAACTGATTTCTAAAGATCTTATTTAAAGTTGCATATTCTAACTCTATTACTCCTTTTTACTGCTAATCTTTATAGTACATAACTTTGGCAAAAATAATCTTTTATTTAAGCTATTTTTCCCATCACCTTGAATTTAACCATCAAAAATTTTTGATGTCTAAAACTCTTGTAAATAATGCACAGTCATGCATAAGCTTATCATTTTTGAAGTAAAATAGAGCAGCCAAATTCATAGATAGTCTGCACAACTTTGTATCCTTTTTATCATGAAAAGTTACTATGAAGAAATGCTGAATACATTTTTACGTGCAATATTTTATAGACCTATGTATCTGAAGCATGTTTACACTGGCATTAGTTATTGTTTTAATTAATATCCTAAATAGTAAGTAGGATAGTACAAGCTGACCAAAATCCTTAAGTTTACAAAGCCATTGGAAAAAAAATATGTGTTCCAATTTCAACAATTACACTTCATTTGAAAGATGAACCAAACTCACAGACACTAAATTTTAAGTCACGCCATAACCTGGAGGGAAGCCATTTGGCTGAGGCTGCAGAACTTCGTTGGGAAGCAAATGAAAGGCACATGGAAGGACACACTGTTCCAGTTCATATTCTTCCTGCTTGGGAATTAAATCCTGTCATGGTGGTGGTTTCATGTCTGTCAGGAGCTGAAGTCTGGCTCCCAGTTTGTGTAGCTGATTGGAGATGAGGATTGAATTTGCCTCAACGAGTTTGAAGGGCCCACGCCAGCCTAGGGGTCTTTGGTGTCAGTCCTCTAGGTAGAACCGGTTTGACAGGTAGGTGGCCCTTCTATAGGACATGATGTGCGGACGTCAGGCAGCTCTCTCTGCCCTGAGATACTGCCTAACTCTAGTTGTCCTGCCTGATTTGTGATGAATAGAGATTGGCTTCTGAAGAGTTTGAGTCATGAAAGATCCCTTGAGAAAATGCACCCCTGCCTTGAAGCTAACATCTGTGACAGAATTCAGAATTCTTGGAGCCTGATAAACATAGTTCGCTGTAGAGATAGTTCATTCGCATACCTGGGGGATGCCAGGAGGAAGACTGGGACCCAGAACAAAGCTTGGCATGAGGGCTTCAGAGGTGACCTGTGCCTCCCCAGAGCCTCAGCCAAGAGCGGCCCCCTCCTAGTGGGGAGGGCAACCTCGCACCTGCCCACAGGCACTGCCACCCATGGGAACTGCCGAGGGCTGTCATGCACATGCACGCAGGCCCTCTCTGCCCCTTAGAATATGGAAACAAATGGAGAAAGGGAGAAAACTGAAGTCAGGTGAACTTTCCAGCAATCAGTTCTTCAGCCTCACCTCCACCCAGAGCGCACACCGACGACGCACTGGGTATATCTGCTTCTCGTTAGGGCATTGCCAATTGCTTTCATAATTCACAATGTGCTGTGCTCCTCTTCGGGTCTATCTGTATTTCTCTTCAAAGAATTCTCTTTTTAAATTCTTGCAGCTGGTTTTTAAGACACAGGAAAATGGGCAAATTAAGTTTTATAAACTTGGAAGTTTTTATACCATAAATAAATACCATGTACTCGTCACCACTGAAACCCCATTCTTAGAACTCGATTCTTGTTTTATTTAAATACAGGGGTAGATATCTGTGAAGATTTTCGTGTACCTATTTACCTTGTCACTAATAAAATTAAAACTGAAAGACACGATGGCATGCTTTTGGTTTATTTCACGTGCAACATAAAGCTTTCCCGTAATGGTCATCATCAAAGGTTTCTGTCTTTACACCTTGATATCTTATTATGAAAACACTGAACACTGAAAGAAATTTGAAAGAGCAAACATGTGACGTTCTTTGGGTGATGAAAATGTTCTACACTTAGATCGTGTTGATGGTTGCACAACTCCGTGAGTATGCTAAAAATTATCATATTGTACACTTTAAGTTTTGTGGTATGTAAGTCATATCTCAATAAAGACATTAAAAATTTTTAAGTAACTTCTAATACTTCCACCCTTACTTGCATAACTGATTTCTTTTCTCCACATTGCCTTTCAAATTTTGTTCATATATACATCTTAGTTCTTCATGAAGCCTTCCCTCGAATCTTCAGCCAACTTCCAGGCTATTCCTGTCCTCCAATAGCATTTTGTGAATTACCACACTTTCCCATGTGTTCACATAACTATCTTCCAGCTAGACTGACCCTCGATGAGAACAGAAACCATTTTCTTTTATTTGTATGCTTCCTACACCTAGCACCGACACCTGGTATATAGTCAGTGATCAAAAAAATTTCTAGAATGAATGAATATATGTATGTGCATGGTCATAATTATGGTGAACATGTACTTTTGTAATCTGCTTCCATTGCTAAGCAGCAGACAAATGTGTATACACCTATTTACAACGTTCATACAATGTTATTCTAATAGTTACCCAATTTTCTATCCAATTAGTGAATCATCCTTTGTTTAGTCATCCCTGTCTTCTTGGAAATAGGTGTTCACAGTTTCATATATTAAGAATAGTATTAAATGGAATGCTACCATAGTCAGCAGAGTGTAGAAGTTTATTATAAAAACATTTTTTAATTGAATACTTTCAAACTTGGGACTTCTTTTTGTTTATTTCAATGAATGAACTTTGAGATTGCTTGGTCAGAGTATATGAAGAGTTCTGTGGCTCTTGATAACACATTGCTCTTAAGAGGACTAAATCAACTTGCATTAACCTAAACGCACCATTTCCTTCACAACTCCATCAGCATAGTTTAAATAGTTTGGTCATTGTTTTCAAATGTAACCTTATTTTACTTTGTATTTCATTAAAATTCAGTAAACTTAATGTACACATTTAATTTTGAGTTCTAATATTTATCAGTCACTCAATATAAACCAATATATTCATCATACCCCATAAGATAATCAAATACTTGCCACTTCTCTGTCTGGCATTCATGAATGCCAATGAGAAGAACCTATGTCTGGGTGCTTTCCCTGTAGCCTACAGCAAGCAGTAGGACGACTCCTTCTCTCCATATTGTCTATCACTCACACTTCAAAACCTATACCTATCTAAAGGATTATGGTAGTCCAGAGGTGCCTGTGTATCCCAGATGAAAATATGCAAAACCAAATCTAAGATTCAATAATATTGATGCTGAACATTGAAGCACTCAACCTACTACAAAGTTGCGTGAGGCACAGATGGAAGGATCCATCCCACATATACTCTCACAGTGAGGAAGAAGAGGTACTCTTGCAGGGTCTTTCATAGTAGTAAAATGCTCTGTAGTTGAACGTACCAAGTGGTAGGTTAGTATTCTCCATAAATTCTGTTGATATCTTTGCCTCTTCCTGCCATTTTATATGTACACACTGAAATGCATCAATACTTTCTTTTTTTTTTAATTCAGGATATTATGGGGGTACTTCAAATAGTACAACCCCTGTGGAAAGTAATTCGGAGATACCTCAGAGAGCTAAAGATAGAAATACCATTTGATCCAGCAATCCCACTACTAGGCATCTATCCAAAGGAAAAAAAGACATTCTATAATAAAGACATCTGCATCAATACTTTCTAAACATTGAGTTGAGATTTGGATGTCTAGACTGGGCAAAATGAGATAAGAATTCTTTGACAAGGTAGAATTCCCTCATGCGTTACACATTTCCTCTGTTAAATTGGCACTGCCTTCCTAGGTTACCTGTACGGAAAAGAGTATTCTGGCACTCTCAGAAAGAGCTAAAACATGAAAACCTTTGGTTGATATCTGTGAATGCTAAGACAGTACTTCCCTGGGGTCCAATGTTCTTTTTCCCAAATACAGCAGATTTTCTTTTTCAGAACTCTGATGACATTAAAATG